CCCCCAGCTGATAAACAACCGCCTCCTGCTATACCTAAGCGGCCATTCGAGCGTCCAGTGGTGATTCGTGAGCGCCAGGAGCGGCGGCCAAATTATCGATTCTCTACCGTCAGACTCGAAGGCATTGAAGACAATCATACTGGGAATTCGAGAAAGAACAGGAATAGGGTGGCCGACTCTGAAGAGGATGAAGCTGATGATCATGGACATTCAAAGAAATCTAGGGTGGACGACGACTCTGAAGAGGACCCTGATGCTGAAGGAATTCCGGACAATGGCGAGTGGTTTGAGCCCACCCAGCAGAAGCAACAAGTAGCAGTTATTCTTGACCACGGAATTGGTCATCCAGAAACATTCCGAAGGGGCCCAACACAGGAGGCAACCCCGCGTTATCATCCCTTGGTGGACGATTTTATATCCTTGGAGTTGATGAAAGGGATGAGCATTCCTCGGAACCCGACTCAGGGCGGCAGCAGCCAGCTTTCTGGGGGAGGAAATAAGAGGGGTGCTGGAGGGGACATACCTGAGAACAGATCTGGCCGTGCTCCATGTGAGTTATTGCTTCCTGATGTATGATTAATGTGTTTTCAATGGCTGACATGTACAATTCCATCATCCCAAAGCTGTGGAATTGTTTGTCCCTGGGCAAGTTTTGGCACCCCAGGAGGTCAATCGCTGGAACAACAAGCTGGCTCGCGGAATCCAATGGTCACACCAATCCGCCCATTCAGCACTGTTGAACATTCAGTACCTCCTCCAGCATTTGCCACCACTTCTATCTGCCCATGCGGCAATCCCAGAAGAAGATAGTCAGCAGTTTTGGAAGGATGTGGACGTCACCTCCAGGCTTTGTGAATCTGGTATGTCCTTTGGATACAGCTGTGTGTTTGTGGACAAGCCTGCCTACTGATGTTGAATCCATTTCATCAGAGGATATTCTCAATACTGCAGGGAATTTGTCTCTCATTACGTCTGACATGGTCGATATGGAACAAGTCCGATTGTTCCAGCTGTCGGACAAGGTAACCAAAGACCACACGCTTCTGCCACATTTGGCAACCTTCTTTGCTCCTGGGAGATCTGCATATTCTCGACTGCGGGCAGCCTTACATCAAACTTGGGCACTTAAGAGGTTGGCGAATTTGAAAGACAGCTGGATCCCTCAAGCATTCGATGATGATACAAATGTATATACTGCGTACTACCACTTCTGTGGGGCGTATGAGAACATTGGCGGGAGGATGACCGACAACACCGGGGCCGAACCTGGTGTCTTCTCGTTGATTCAGTATTTCATAGGAGCTCTCGCCGGATTGGCTTTCTTGTCAGGCGGCTGCGTTCCAAAACCCAAGCAATCCAAAATCGATTCCTACCGCTCAAAGCACCACCTTCAACACGTCCAGATGCTTGCCAATCTTGTGATTTTTGGTCCAACATCAGCCTTCACCGCTTATCGAACCGGCCCACACGTGACCCTAGGCAATTCGCTTTCTTTGTTAGAGGTTGGGGCCAGTCTGCTCAAACAAAAGGTCAAACATGGGATCACGGCCCCAATGCCGCATGCAACATTGGACAATCTTTGGCTGTATTTCTTGAATTTTCTCATCAAGATGGGCTTCACCCAGCTTGATGACAAAGGTCTCCCACAGGTAAATTGGAGGGTTGTACACCAAGCTTTCTACCAAGAGTTTGCAACTCATGTGATATCACACATGTTTGCTGAAGATATTGAAATTGCTTTGGCACAGAAGAGATTTGGTGTGGTTTGATTCTTGATTCTATTTAGTGTTTGATGTGATGTGTTTCTTCCCCATATGGTATCTTACGTTTGTTGTCCTCTTCTTCCAGTCTCTATATTTCAACTGGCAATAACTTGATGTTTAAGATGATTGTGCACAATTTAGCAAATTATCCTTGGGACCAGTGTTCCCTAGTTTCCTCTCTTTAACATGTGTTTCCTTTGGAATCGGTCAAGTCTGTATGCAATTTGACTCCTCTGAAGATGCGGGAGGCCTCACGTGGCTGAGGGAATATAGCGCATGAACCAAGATGAATGCAACATCATATGTCTAATTGTACTTCTGATGTAATCTTTGTTGTGGAACACCACAACACAACAGAACAGAACAATAAAAGACAAAACAAGCAATAGTGAAATAAACCAACATACTGAGATGTCTTAGGACCAAGAAAAATAAACAAGACTGTCCCCAGGGTGGGTGATTTGAATAACCTACTAAAGAATGATAAGAAGATAAAATGAATGTGAAAGCAAGATGAGTTGAAAAATCATAATATGAAGATAAAATAAACCGCAGCATTGATATAATAAAAAGAAACATTGTAACAATTAGAAGTCGACAGTGGAATCTAATCTATGTTTGGTAAAACGCTTGCTACCCATGTGGCTAATAACACCTTCATTCTGTTTTAAACTTGTTATGCAAATCAATGTTAGATTGAATCGCTTGAACCCATTGGGCTAATAAGATGTTTGGTTGGCGCCTGGGCAACGTAGGGGGCGGTATTGGGAGGAGCCCTTGTTTGCCAACCACTAACTCCCAATGGTTACCCCCTGTGAAGGCAAGAAATATTGGACCCAGGGGTTTGGGGGGCGGTGGGTGTAAGGTGGGAAGATTGGTGATACAGCCAGCAAGGACATCACCGGTTACAAAGACAATGGGCCTGTTGTATGCATTGGCAATAACAGGCCCCATCTCTAACCTTGCAAGCCATTTGGAACAGGGGACGTGGGTGGAGCCTTCAGGGACCTCGAGTGATTCACAGACCAGCTTCAATTGTTTGTCGCCTCCGAACTTCCTTGACCAATGTGCTGGGTCTTGATGGAGTTCGTGTAGAAGATCCCTGCGGACGTGGAGCCACCCGTCCGGCTTTGAATATGGGCTCTCCGGTTTTTCGCCTGCAAGTACGTGGGCTATACATGAGTAACCACAGTTTCCATAACCTGGGGGATTGTATTTTGACTGAACAAATGGTTCAAGCCAGACAGGCAGCTCATCAGGGTGCCTCAGCTGGACCTATAATTGGAGATGACAAGGGTTAGCACCAAGTCCCTGTGTCATAAGCTATTACAGGGGATGAGTCATACCGCATTAGTACCGGTTTTAGCCCGGTTTGTTGAGATTATTTGAACTTCGTCTTCCTGTGGATATCATGAGCTTATATCAGCTTGGGGGAAACTGACATAATGGTTGGGTTGCGCTCACATCTTCACCAGGTGGCTTGCAGGGAATATCTTTCTCCTCTCTTGTGACCTCTGCGCATGATTGTAAGTTGGAGGGGGCGCCCTGGGGTCCCGATTGGTCGACTGTCTCCTTTGGCTTGTAAATGCGTTTAGGCCGAATGCGCTTCCGCTTGGGTGTAGTAGCAGGGACGACCTGTCCAATAGGCATTGAGCTAATGTTGCCTTAAGGCCAGTGCTCCAGTATAAGTTTGAACTTGACTCACAGGTTGCATCTCATTGGTTTCTGGCACCTGAGGCAAACAGGCCCCATCTTCCGCGCATGTGAGGAACCGAGGCCCATCGAGGGGCACGATTGGGTCCAGTACATTGCCAATGTCCATATTGGTGGTCATCTGGGTTGGATTGGAAGGCTCTTGTGCACTTGGCTTTGCCTATATGGTGGGGAAATAAGGGGTTTGTACTTTTCAGCAACGAATCCTGCCTGCATCAAATCTGAATCTCTTACCTGCGCAACCAGTTGAGGCAAAACAGCCTGATGATCCGGCCCATGAGCAGGGTTGGCTATCCATTCTTGTGGCATGAGAGATGCGGAAGATGGCTTCACGATAACCTAAATACGTGCGTATGACACAAATGATGAGCCTGGAACATCCTATGCAGAAACAACTTCTCAAGGCACATACCTGAGGAATCATCTGCTCCAAGTCAGATGGCAACTCCACATCTGCTGTCTCCATTGCTTGCCCGCTGGGAGGCTGCTCAAGGATAGAGCCTGTTGCGCAACCTCCTGTGTCTGATCCGCTTCTGGAAGCCGTAGCTTGATGGTCTGCACCGGAAAGAACATTCGATTGGGCATCTTCTTTCTCCCCAGGCTCGCATGATGCATTCAGTTGATCATCGGCATCCAAACCGCCTGTACAACCGCCCAAGGAGGCCATCCTAACTGCCTCATCCGCCAGGGCCGGATCCATCTGTCGGTGTAGGACTTGGTATTCGACATCCATGGGGCCATGATTATGATGCAGGTGATCTTTGATTCGTATTTCCCATGGGAAATTTTGGCAGCCCTCAGCAGTTGGTTTATGCCCAGAAACCCTGAACGGACACCCAATACGTCTGTTTCAAGACATGCGTTGTCGATCCGACTGAGGCTTCTTTGAGTCCTCCCCAGCCAAGGAACAACGTAAGTAGACATTTCTGTTTCCACCGGAGTTCCCGGTTGGGAGTTTGTAGCCATGGGTCACTGCCCATCTCTGCACAAAGCGCCTCAGGTCTTCGAGTTCGTGGAACTTGAGTAGAGGGGGTCGATCCATTGGATCTACAAGTTTTTAACAGATTAACCAGTTGAACCAAATATAAAAAATGCCTGCTGACTACTTACTCCCCACAGTAAAATCAAAATTATCCACGTCAGCTGATGTCAATACCCCATCGGAAGCAATTCCAGCGTCATTCTCCAATCTAACAGCTGAGGATGAGGCCTCCATAGGCGGATCACTTATAGATTTGCCTGCTGACAACCAGGCCAAGATCCGAACTTCAGTCCAAACAATTCACAAAGAAGCCGTTGACCAAGAAAAGAGGACCAACCCTTGACAACCGTCAAATTCTCACCAGCCACGTTGTGGTCATTATTCCTGTGTATGAAGGAAGAAAATTCAAAATTTTATTATTTATCAATCAAGGACTCAAGATATGGACAAATGGACGTCAGAAATGGAATCTACGGCCAATTTAACCCCTAGTCACTCACTGGAACCACCTTCATATCTCTACTGGATCAGAAGTTACGCAGAATCAAGGATGTCACACGGGGAATCACAGGATTAGAGGCACTCAGCTGGAGGGTATATTGCATGGGGGTATATTGCATATTGAATATTGAATTCCTTTTATTCATATTGAATTCCTTTTACACTTACAGAACCACAAGTTGGCCACCAGTTGTACCAGTTAAATTCCCATTTATTCAGCCACAGAACACATGAATTCCTTTCTTACAGCTTACATATAAAAGGAATGCGTTGTAGATAGTCTAGCAAAAATCCCTCAGGATTTTCAAGGATAGGGCAGCTAAAATGCCTCATACAGGGGGTCCCTTGGGGCTAAAATCCCTCATAATTTACTATATAAGGAGGCCTCTGCCTGCCAGTTGTTTCCCTCCTCATCCCACTCAGTACACATTTTTGGTGGGACACCTGTCACAGATATTTATTACACAAGAGGTTCACAAGTAGTACAGTTCACAGATTGAAATATATACACAGTTCATTTCACAAACATTACACAGAAGAGCCAGTCCTTTGTTCCAGTCCTGGTTGAAGCATAGTGCTCCCAGACCCTTTGGGTTCAAGAACCACCTCTATTACATTATACATATACAGCATCAAGGAAGGGCACGAGTAACAAGACATCAAGACGAACAACAACATCAACAACTCAATAAATTCTTTGGACAACAAGATCAACCTTCAACAATTATACATCC